TTCCACCCATAATCTCCATATAGAAAAATAACTATACACATATACATTTCAGAAATGGGTAAATATGGTCCTTGGCATGTGTATCCACAACAATCTACCCATAGTCCCCATGTAGAAAAATAGCAATTTTCATATTCTTATCAGAAACAGGTCAAGTGTGTTCCTAGGTAAGCTTAACCATGACATTCCACACATAATCCCCATGTATAAGGCGTATAAGACGACTTCTTAACCCTTTGAGAACCGTAAGGTTTTGGAACGCCAAAAGAATCAATTTTTTTGTTTTTAAAGTTCGTACACTTCAGTTGCTGTAACTAAACCATTTCATGAAATAATTGGCAAAAAGCTAGATCCATTTGTTGTTTGATAAGAACTAATGTTTTGACTCAAACCAAAAAAAAAAAAGAATTTTAAGTTCTTAATCAGATGATACACGCAATTACAAACATGGCACAAATATGTCCCTTGGTCCCCCATGAAAATCTTCTCAAAAGTCGGGGGTCGTCTTATACGCCGGTACACGGCGTGCTGACACTTCTGAGCCGGTGTCAGGGCGGCACTTTTTAGGGGGGCGGCGCAGTGCCACTGGCCCCCCCTTCCAGTGGAAGGGACACTAAGTACAGGGGCGGGCAGGGGGCTGCTGTTTCTTACCTGGCTCCGGTCTCAGTCCCACGACGATCCAGTCCAGGAAACTCGGCTGCTCCTTCATTCAGTTTGGCCGCTCCATAACTATGTTCGCGCGGCCCCGCGTGGCTCCGCCTCCTCACCGGTGATTGGGCGCCAGAACTGTAGCTCAGGAAAGGCACATAGGTGGCCAATCACCTCGGAGGAGGCGGAGCAGAGCGGCCCCATGAACATCGAGTGAGGGAGCGGCCGGTAATTGTGCCGTGCAGATGGTGCTCCTGCAACCATGTATGCTGGCTGCAGCAGCACCATGCTGGAACAGGGGTCAGCAAGTGTCATTGGTGTCAGTGGGAGGAATAGTGCCCCGTCATTGGTGTCACTGATACTAATGATGGGGCATTATTCCTCCCACTGACATCAACGATAGGGCACTATTCCTCCCCCCCACTAACACCAACGATGGAACACTATTCCTCCCCCCCACTGACACCAACGATGGGGCACTATTCCTCCCCCCCACTGACACCAACGATGGGACACTATTCCTCCCACTGACACCAACGATGGGACACTATTCCTCCCACTAACACCAATGATGGGACACTATTCCTCCCACTGATACCAATGATGAGGCACTATTCCTCCCACTGACACCAATGATGGGGCACTATTCCTCCCACTGACACCAATGATGGGGCACTCTTTCTACCACTGACACTGATGGAGTACTGTTCCTCCCACTGACACTAATGATAGGACACTATTCCTCACACACTGACACTAATGATGGGGCACCATCATTGGTGTCAGTGGGAGGAATAGTCCCCATCATTGGTGTCAGTAGGAGGAATAGTGCCCTATCATTGGTGTCAGTAGGAGGAATAGTGCCCCATCATTGGTGTCAGAGTGAGGAATCGTGCCCCATCATTGGTGTCAGTGAGAGGAATAGCACCCCATCATTGGAATACCATACTGAAATACCATACCATATTGAAATCAAATCTGATGTTTTTTTTAATTTTTATTTGGTGTGCATTGGAAGAGGGGTAGTCTTATATGGCGAGTATAGCCCAAACCCTATATTTTAACAGGAAAAGTAGGGAGTCGTCTTATACGCTGGAAAATACGGTAACTATAACCACAATTTTTTCAGAAATAGATCAAATATGATCCTTGGCATGTGTATCCACAAAAATGCACCCATAATCCCCATGTAGAAAAATAATTATATGTATTTGCTTATCCAAAATAGGTTGAGTTACCATGATATTCTCCCCATAATCCCAGATATAAAAGTAATTTTACCCATATTTTTATTTTAAAAGATGAAATTTAATTTGTATGGGATGTGTAACCATTATATTCTAGCCATAATCCCCATGCAGATCCATAATAACCACATTGTTAGCAGAAATGCATTCATTTTTTGCTTGGCGCTTATAATTTTTAATCTTCTTCACTTTTGAAAAGTTCCTAATAGAACAGTTCAAAATGTAGTGCTTTACTGTATGAAATCAGTACATCTATTCCTATTAATATATTGAGTAACATTTCCATTATTTCTGTATAATTTACTATGATGCCATTTTACAGCTGCACATATATCAGTAAGTGAAGAGTTAAACATTAGCCACTATTACTTGCAACATAGTATCAAGCACTGTAGAAAAGATAAACATATTTTGAGTAAAAACAAAATCATTACCATATACAGTAGGGCAAACAAGTATTTAGTCAGCCACCAATTGTGCAAGTTCTCCCACTTAAAAAGATGAGAGAGGCCTGTAATTGGCATCATAGGTAGACCTCAACTATGAGAGACAAAATGAGAAAAAAAATCCAGACAATCACATTGGCTGATTTGGAAAGAATTTAATTTGCAAATTATGGTGGAAAATAAGTATTTGGTCACCTATAATCAAGCAAGATTTCTGGCTCTCACAGATCTGTACCTTCTTCTTTAAGAGGCTCCTCTGTCCTGCACTCATTACCTGTATCAATGGCACCTGTTTGAACTTGTTATCAGTATAAAAGACACCTGTCCACAACCTCAAACAGTCACACTCCAAACTCCACTATGGTGAAGACCAACGAGCTGTCGAAGGACACCAGAAACAAAATTGTAGACCTGCACCAGGCTGGGAAGACTGAATCTGCAATAGGCAAGCAGCTTAGGCATTGGCATCATAGGTAGACCTCAACTATGAGAGACAAAATGAGAAAAAAAATCCAGACAATCACATTGGCTGATTTGGAAAGAATGTATTTGCAAATTATGGTGGAAAATAAGTATTTGGTCAATATCAAAAGTTCATCTCAATACTTTGTTATATATCCTTTGTTGGCAATGACAGAGGTCAAACGTTTCCTGTAAGTCTTCACAAGGTTGGCACACACTGTTGCTGGTATGTTGGCCCATTCCTCCATGCAGATCTCCTCTAGAGCAGTGATATTTTGGGGCTGTCGCTGGGCAACACGGACTTTCAACTCCCTCCAAAGGTTTTCTATGGGGTTGAGATCTGGAGACTGGCTAGGCCACTCCAGGACCTTGAAATGCTTCTTATGAAGCCACTCCTTCGTTGCCCGGGCGGTATGTTTGGGATCATTGTCATGTTGGAAGACCCAGCCACGTTTCATCTTCGATGCCCTTGCTGATGGAAGGAGGTTTGCACTCAAAATCTCACGATACATGGCCCCATTCATTCTGTCCTGTACATGGATCAGTCGTCCTGGTCCCTTTGCGGAGAAAGAGCCCCAAAGCATGATGTTGCCACCCCCATGCTTCACAGTAGGTATGGTGTTTTTTGGATGCAACTCAGCATTCTCTCTCCTCCAAACACGACGAGTTGTGTTTTCTACCAAACAGTTCTATTTTGGTTTCATCTGACCATATGACATTCTCCTAATCCTCTTCTGGATCATCCAAATGCTCTCTAGCAAACTTCAGATGGGCCCGGACATGTACTGGCTTAAGCAGGGGGACACGTCTGCACTGCAGGATCTGAGTCCCTGGCGGCGTAGTGTGTTACTGATGGTAGCCTTTGTTACGTTGGTCCCAGCTCTCTGCAGGTCATTCGCTAGGTCCCCCTGTGTGGTCCTGGGATTTTTGCTCACCGTTCTTGTGATCATTTTGACCCCACGGGGTGAGATCTTGCGTGGAACCGCAGATCGAGGGAGATTATCAGTGGTCTTGTATGTCTTCCATTTTCTAATTGTTGCTCCCACAGTTGATTTGTTCACACCAAGCTGCTTGCCTATTGCAGATTCAGTCTTCCCAGCCTGGTGCAGGTCTACAATTTTGTTTCTGGTGTCCTTCGACAGCTCGTTGGTCTTCACCATAGTGGAGTTTGGAGTGTGACTGTTTGAGGTTGTGGACAGGTGTCTTTTATACTGATAACAAGTTCAAACAGGTGCCATTGATACAGGTAATGAGTGCAGGACAGAGGAGCCTCTTAAAGAAGAAGGTACAGATCTGTGAGAGCCAGAAATCTTGCTTGATTATAGGTGACCAAATACTTATTTTTTCCACCATAATTTGCAAATTAAATTCTTTCCAAATCAGCCAATGTGATTGTCTGGATTTTTTTTCTCATTTTGTCTCTCATAGTTGAGGTCTACCTATGATGCCAATTACAGGCCTCTCTCATCTTTTTAAGTGGGAGAACTTGCACAATTGGTGGCTGACTAAATACCTTTTTGCCCCACTGTATATGTGTAAAAATATACTGACATTAATGAGAGTGTTGAGCATTGCAGCCAATAATCCAATCATCCCATCATCCCAATATATAGTTTAGTACATCCCAGTTTTCTCTAGCATGGGAGGATTGATTTTTATTTTTATTTATGTATTTGATGACACACTGCACTATTAAACTGTTATTGAAATTCTACACCCTAGCCTTGGATGAATAAAAGTAGGATTTTATAGTTCAGGGGGCTCTTTTTTTGCCTTTTTTTTTACCATGGTGCTGTCAAGTAGTAATAGTAGTAGTGTTAATTATGCGTATTGCTTTTATGGTTAATATTTTCTACACATGTAGATGTTCTGCTAAATAATATAATTTATAGAGCTGTTTAGAATCATTTTTATTATGAATAACCTTGGCAAATAACATATGTTTTCTACCAAATTGTTAAAATCTAATTTTCTTTTTCTTTTCAGATATTAATGGCCTTGAGGCATCTTCACGCAAAGAATATTGTTCACTGTGACCTTAAACCAGAAAATGTTCTCTTGGCTACAGAGGACGCTTTTCCACAAGTAAGTTATCAATTGGCAAGGCTAGAATTCTTTCAAGGGGACATTGCCTAGCAGTCTGCACACAAACTCCCCTTTCATTACACACTGGACATTGTATATTTTGACCAGACAGGGTTGCTCTAATTATTCTAATTTTATCCACTCAGCAGGAGATTCATCAACTCCTGTAAGAAATATTTCTTACTATGATGCATGCCAAAAAAACAAACATGAATGTACTTTGGATTGATTGGTGTGTGCCGACAATGTTTTCAGATGTGTTGCATTTTTGAAAGAAATCTATTGACATTTTAGTACAGAATAGGAGCCTGTTCAAGACTGAAGCTAAATCTGGGAGACCAGCTTTAAACTTGTCAGCAAAAGAAGCAGGATTTGTATATTCATATTAGCATGGATAGGAATATTGCCTGTGTACTGGACACACAGTACTGCATGTTACTTTTATTTATATTAGTAAATATAATGTTATTATTGAACGTATTTTTGACGTGAGTAAAGCATTTCATTTAGTGTGAATTACCTTATTTAAGTGTAGCTCATTCGTATTATATGTTTTTTCATTTTGCAACAAGGTTAAACTTTGTGATTTTGGATTTGCTCGCATTATTGGTGAAAAATCTTTTCGAAGGTCAGTTGTTGGGACTCCAGCTTATTTGGCACCAGAGGTCTTAAGGAACAGTGGCTATAACAGATCCCTTGATATGTGGTCAGTTGGTGTAATCATCTATGTCAGCCTTAGTGGCACATTCCCCTTCAATGAAGATGAAGATATAAATGATCAGATCCGAAATGCAGCGTTTATGTTTCCAAAGAACCCCTGGAATGAAGTTTCAAATGATGGTAAGTAGACCATTTTCATTTTTGGGGTTTGTTATAGTTTTAGTATTATGAAGTATTATGATTTATTCATAGTTACATACAGTAGTCAGAGTTAAAGATGAAATATGGGCAAATTTCTTATTTTCCCATACAGTGGGGCTGAGCCCGCACTGCATGGGTTAAATGTTCGTTTTTTGCCTATAGACTAGCTCCGGATGTGAGGACGGCAGGAACAGTCCACCAATGGACATGGGGAGCGTGGTTTTCTGGAGGATCAGAGGAATGGGTAAGTATAGCTTTATCCTGAGCCCCCAGACAAAACGAGCACTTAACTCATACAGTGTGGGAACAGTCCCACTGCATTGGAAAATAAAATTTTTAACTGGAGTTCTGCTTTTAGCTGGCCAAGCAGGGTTGTTTTTTTTTTTGTTTGCTTTTTTCTTCATTCAACCATCCACACAAACTCAGTGGAGGATTCCACCCACCAGGACATTGTATTCTCACAGTGGCAGGTACTGCTCCCGTTGCTGATCGATTTGTTGAGCAACACAGCCCACACACTGGTTGAAATTTAGGCCATTTTCTGCTGGACAGACCCAATTTTGATCAGTGTAAGACCAGCTCTAGTCAAGATGAAACATATACATATATATTTTTCCTTATCCTGAGCCCATTTCATTAGAAACTTACCCAAAATTGGAAATAGGGGAGAGCTCTCCAGAGATATGGATGTAGTCGAGAATAACAACAAGCACACTTGAGATGTTGCATCAATTAGCGGTTAGGATTTGAGCATAGAGGGTAAAGAAGTATGACACCATGGGCCTCGTTGAAGTAGAATCTGACTCTGATCCTGTTCAATAAGAGTCCATATTTTAGTATCGCTATGCCGGCAACTTTGTATTAAGTGGCCCAGGTGAATGGCCTGCTAGTACCAGACGACCAAATTGCTTAGGTAAAGTAAGCAGTCAATGTCGGATTGGAGGCCTCCCAGATAAAGTCAAAGAGCAAGGACTGAGCTTGTTTCAAGAATGTGGATGGCATATAATTCATAGGGCTTGAAATAAGTATAAAAAGGTGGTAAATACTAATTTTAATAATGTTTCAACGCCCAAAGAATGTATCCAGAATGTTTATCCAGCAGAGCATGCACCTGATCTAAAAGAGGCAGAATGTTTAAGGTAAAAGTATGAGAAATTCATGGCTATATATTACCACCTAGGTATTTCTGTGCCACGAGAGTTCATTTGCATTTATAATCCGATTGTAGTGATCTAATAAGATGTTGCGTCATTGCAACACTCATCACCTTCGATTTGGAAAAGTCTTCTTTAAGCCAGAGATGCTTAATGCTCGAACTCGTGCAATAAATTGGGAAGTGAGATCCCGGGATTACTTAGGGAGAATAGCATGTCGCCTGCAAAAGCAGAGATCTTGTGTTGAACATCTCCTATACATAACCCCTGGATGTCAGGATTCCTTCTGACAGTGAAAAGGAAAGGCTCCAGAGTAAGGGCAAAGAGCAAGGGTGAAAGAGGACGCTCCTGCCTGGTGCCATTTGTAATAGGAAAGGGATCTGAAAGGTCACCATTTACTTTTAACAGCGGCCGTTGTTACAGTGTAGACACTGGAAATCCAATGAAGCATGTTGTTTCCGAGGCTGACATATCGTAAGACAGCCAGCATTAACTGCCAATTCAGCCGGTCTCAAATGCTTTACCCCCTGTCTTTTTCTTGGTATACTGTACATGCTGAAATTGGTCTGACTGGCCATATGAATCAGGTTGAGAACCTTAATAGTGTTATCTCAAACCTCCCAGTTGGAAATAAACCCCACTTAGTCAAGATGGATTCGCTGTGGTAAATATTGTAATCTGGTGCCCACTGTCGTGGTAAAAAGTTTCAGATTGATATTTAAAAGACAGATTGGTCGGTAGATACCAGAGGATGAAGGATCCTTCCCCTTTTTTCGGTAGAACAGTGATATGAGCTTTAAGGGTGTCCGATGGAAAAGAGGCTTAGTCTCCTAATGCATTAAATATTTTAAGCATATAAGGGCCAAGAATGGCAAGTAACAGTTTATAGTACTGAACAGTAAAGCCATCTGGGCCTGGAGCTTTACCCGATTTGGTCAGATTGACTGCCAGTCACAGCTCGCCCATTGTTATAGGCGCCTCCAGTTCTTGACGAACCGAGGGGGGGTAGTCTAGGCATACAGGTGGATGTCAGATCCTCTACTTGATGAGGCGGATGTAGTATGTAGATTATATAATGAGGAGTAAATGTTTGGGCAATGTGTTTGGGCAGAGAGGCTTGTTAACCATCTGCCTGCATTATATGAGCAACATAAGTTGCTGCTGTCTTATCTTGTAAGGCTTTGGCCAAGAGCCTGCCACATTTATTGCCAAGCTCAAAGAAAATGTGTCTACACGTTTGAACCGCAGCTTTGTCTCTGAACCGTAAGAGGACTGTCACTTGTTTCCGGTGAATTAGCAGTTCCCTTTCTACAGATTGGGACAGTGCGTGTTTATGGTGGGATTCCAATTTATGAATGGCTGTCAATAAGGTGTCCAATTGTTTCTTCTGGTCTTTCTTGATCCGAACCCCATGCTTAATTAGAACCCCTCAGATAACAGCCTTATGCACTTCCCACACAATTCCCAAGTTACAACCGGGTGTATCATTAGTGGGAAAATATGCCTCAAGATCAAGCACAATGTCCACTAGGACCATGGGGTCCTGCAGCAGACTTTCATTACGTCTTCAAGGGGATCTCTTAGAGGAAGGAGTGTCGCACAGGGAGTACTGAAATGTGATGGGAGCATGAGCCAACCACATGATATTTCCTATGGAAATGGCCAGACATCTATTAGTTGGATCTTATGAAGAATTTGAGAGATGCGTTTGCAAGAGCTAGGGGGGGCAGATGATGAGCCTGAGGATGTATCAAAAGTAGGGATCAGTGGGACATTAAAATCTCCCCCTAGTGCTGGATGGCCTTCTGTGAATTCCAGCAATTTAATCGGAGTGCTACAGATAAAGAGGTCCTGTTGACTATTACATCGTTGCCAATGCCATCTGAACACAGCTATTCTTGCCCTGCAGAAAGATGAAGCTACCGTTCGGGTCCAAAAGAACATCCTGGCATGTCCAGGGACCATTTTTAGAAATCAAAATGGAAACTCCCTTGATTTGGCCTCTTGGTTAGTCCGTGGTAGGTAAAGGGGTAGAACCTGTTTCGGAGGACAGGGAGTTTACCATCCCGAAAGTAAGTATCCTGTATAAATCGGATATCGGAATAACAATATTTTAGCTCCCCAAGAAGCATATGCTGCTTTCCGGAGACATTAAGTCCCTTGGTGTTAATAGAAGTAATGCAAAGTGAGTTCATTCTTCACATTAAATGAATAGGGAGGGGGAGGAGAGGAACAAAAAGGGGGGGGGGGGGGGAGGGGTATAGGAGGCAGAGGAGAGAGGGAAGAAGGGAGTAGAAGAAATGAAGGGGGGTAAAGAAAAGGGAAGACAAATAGGCAGAGAAAGCTAGAAAGAGTGAGGTGAGAAAGCTGTTGGAAGCTGCTGTAAGGGAGCACCTTCCCATAAGTGCTATAATGGGAAGTCCCAATAGCACTCACTAGTGGGTCAAATGACCACATGAGCGCAGACCTACGAGGGGAAAAGGTTGGGTACAGCCAAGAAACATTCTCCCATTTCCCTCCTCCGGCTAGAAGAGACAAACAGATAAACGGCATCACATAACCAAATTGAACAAGCATAGCAACAGGCATAATATATATATAAACAATCCCTTTTTCCCCCTTTGTCGTTGCCTTGAAGGTGGAAAAAATGTCAACATGCCAGGTCTAGTTGTGGGGAGATATACAAGGTCGACCAATGTATGTATTCCCCGAGAAGACTGCCGCCCCAATACAGTGACATGCCAGGCGATCAAGCATTCCAAGCCGAAGTAAATGGTAGAGGGTTGCCCATTGCACCACCCACAAGGTCTCAAAGACTCTGCGGTAGACCCAGGCACGGGATCTGCGTATCACTGAGTGGCTCATCATAACTGAAGGCAACTTGTAGCCCCCTAGAGAAAGTCCTATATTTGCAAGAGAAAACAAACATATTAGTAGAAGCTGCACACGGCCCTCCACCTATAAACCTATAAAGAGGAAGGGAGAAAGTAGGGTACAGGGGAGATCCGAGTGCGCGTCAGAGTGTGTCCCTATAGAGACTGGGAGAGAACCCCCCCCCTCCACAGCAGGAATGCCATAATCAACCCCCACATGTCTAAAGAGAAATGAAACTCTCAAGATTGGGGAGTGTGCTACAAATACCAAACCCTATTAAAATACATTAGTCCTAGCAGGGCACGCAGGTGGTCCCCTCCATAGAGGGCATCGCCTGTAGGAGCCACAACCACCAACAAGCATTGAGGTAATAAACCCTCTACAGTCAAGGGGAGAAGTAGGCATGCCCCAGAAATTTCCATTATAACTAGGGGTGGGGGTACCTAAAAGTGAGTCAACCCTCCCTCATCAAGATCCTGTGGACTACCCACTCTGCGGAGGTAGATAAAGGCCAGAGTTGCTGACTTGATAGGCCCCGTCAGGGAACAAAACCCTCCCTGAGCATTAGCATTCCAGCTCAACACATCTTTACTCAGCCATGTCCAGACCACGCCCCCCATCAGAATATTTTTTAAAGAAACTGACCAAACTTATCACACACATACACTATACTGCCAAAAGTATTGGGACACCCCTCCAAGTCATTAGATTCATTTGTTCCAATCACCTCCATGGCCACAGGTGTATAAAAAATCGAGCACCTAGGCATACAGTTTGCTTCTACAAACATTTGTGAAAAAATGGGTCGCTCTCAGGCGTTCAATGAATTCAAGCGTCGTACAGTGATAGGTTGCCACCTGTGCAATAAGACCATCTGTGAAATTTCCTTGCTACTTAATATCCCACGGTCAACTGTTAGTGGTATTATAACAAAGTGGAAGCAACTTGGAACAGCAACTCAGCCACGAAGTGATAGGCCACGTAAAATGACAGACTGGGGTCAGTACATGCTGAAGTGTACAGTGTGCAGAAGACGCCAACTGTCTGCAGAGTCAATAGCTAAAGACCTCCAAACTTTGTGTGGCCTTCAGATTAGCACAACAGTGGGCAGAGAGCTTCATGGAATGGGTTTCCATGGCCGAGCAGGTGCATCCAAGCCTTACATCACCAAGTACAATAAAAAGTGTCAGATGCCGTGGTGTAAAGCACACCACCACTAGACTCTAGAGCAGTGGAAACGTGTTCTCTGGAGTGGCGAATCATGCTTCTCTGTCTGGCAATCCAATGGACGTGTCTGGGTTTGGCTTTTGCCAGGAGAATGGTACTTGCCTGACTGCATTGTGCCAAGTATAAAGTTTGGTGGAGGGGGTATTGTGGTGTGGGGTTATTTTTCATGGGGTTGGGCTTGGCCCCTTAGTTCCAGTGAAGGAAACTCTTAAGGTGTCAGCATACCAAGACATTTTGGATAATTTCATGCTCCCAACTTTGTGGGAATATTTTGGGAATGGCCCCTTCCTGTTCCAACATGACTGCATACCAGTGCATAAAGAAAGGTCCATAAAGACATGGCTGAGCAAGTTTGGGATGGAGGAACATGACTGGCCTGCACAGAGTCCTGACCTCAAGCCAATAGAACACTTTTGGGATGAATTAGAGTGGAGACTGCGAGTCAGGCCTTCTCGTCCGACATCAGTGCCTGACCTCACAAATGCGTTTCTAGAAGGGTCAAACATTCCCATAGACACACTCCTAAACCTTGTGGAAGATCTTCCCAGAAGAGTTGAAGCTATTATAGCTGTAAAGGGTGGGCCAACTCAACATTGAACGCTACAGCCTAAGACTGGGATGCCATTAAAGTTCATGTGCGTGTAAAGGCAGGTGTCCCAATGCTTTTGGCAATATAGTGTATATGAACATGAAAAACAAAAGCTGTTCAAAAATAGCATCCTTGGTGGGAAACCAGGTTACCTACCTACATATCATGATTGGTATGAAATTGGCAAAGTTCAACAATAGATAAACAATAGATAAATGGTTGAGGTTGATCTGATTAACTTGTATTGTTGTTTTTGTAAACAAACACTTTTTTTTATTTTTTAGCAATTGCCCTTATAAGCAGTTTGTTACAAGTGCAAATCAGAAGAAGATTCAGTGTGGACAAGGCTCTTAGTCACCCATGGATGCAGGTAGGTATCCATGTCAACTACTATCGCATTTGTATAGGGTCAGCCCAGCAAAACTGTCTTTTCAGTTGTAGATAGTATTTTGGTTTCTTAAACTATTGTAGTCACTAGTAGCAAAATCACTGGACCTGAATTACCAGATGCCCCAACCCTTCACAGACATTTAAATAGGGAATATTTAAATTGTTGCTTTATGAAGATTGACTAAGGATGAGTGAGACTTTTTGGTGGGAGAAACAGCCAGGTTGTTTTTGTCTTCACATTCTTCTATGATAATAAGATAGTATGTGGTTGTTAATTCAACCCACAAGCACCCACAAATAACCAAAATATAAGGGTTAGATTGATCAAATATTCAGGTATGCAGATCTGCAATGTAGCCCACTGCATAGAAAATATATTAGACTCCGGACCTGATTCAGAAATCTGTGATACATGATACTGCATTCTGAAAGTGACATATTGAGTAATATTGCATGTGTTAATGTCACTTGCTTTATCAAAAAGGGGAAGTTTATAATTCCAAGTTTTTTCACTTGGTGAAGAAGTTAATTCTGTGTGTTAAAATGTTTAACTTTTCACCTGTCAAATTAATTGAAAAATCAACAGTACGCCAATAATACTGCAGAAACACCACTGGACTTAAAGATCGTTAAAAAAATTATGTTAAAAAATGGGAAATACCATTGTTTTTCTTAACCGCTTCCTGATACCACCTTCCACCCCTTTAAGGGGATCTAAATGGCGGGAGGCTGAAGTGGACATTCAAATCATGTCACAACTGTAATGTCTGGCTGTCACAGCGCTCACATCATTGGAAGCTTCTGATAGCCAGTATTCATTGGGAACTTTCCAGTTTCACTTTAGCTACTGTGCTGGGAACTTGCAGTGAACGTATTATCAGTACAGTAAACCGTACCCTATGGATGCATATATGCAGCCACTCAGTGTTAGGGCCCAACCCCGAGAGACCACATCCAGCAGTGGTCTCAAAACTGCGTCCTGGGGACTATATATGGCCCTTTGCTTGCTTTTATATGGCTCTTGGGGCACTATTTCATCCACTGATACCAACAACGGGGTAGAATTCCTCCCACTGGCATGAAACAACATTGTTTTTTCCTCACTGACGTATGGACCTTTTCTGCTACAAATGTCCACAGTCCAGCCCCCTAAAGTCTGAAAAGCAGTAAACTGGCCCTTTGTTTATAAAGTTTGGAGACCCCTGATATACAGTATATGCACACAGCTGGCATGAAGAGGTTAATTAGCTTAATACTTTAGGATAACCTTGTAGCAATTGTGCATACAAAGATGGACGCGGTCCTCTATCTTGCTAAGGATCCTCCATCTTGTATCTCTCTCTCTCTCCTAGACAAATCCCCCCCTCCCTCTCTGTTGAGTGACACATGGTCCCTGGATGCTGAGTTCAAAAAGGCATCAAGGCCCAGCTAGGGAGCTCATGGTTATACACCCCAATTAGCCTGGCCCCTGTATGTCTGTGAGACTCTTGCTGGAAAAGGATCGTAAAGCCATAAACCAAGCCCTTCACTGAGCTTCAAAGACATTCCAGATAAACCGTAAAACAGGCATATATTCAGACCGGTCACTTTAATACAAGTCGTCTGATATATTACACCCCCTAGCTGACATCTACAGGAGAACAGAAAATGATATCTCCTTACCTGTCCCAGCAGGTATGTCATATTTCATATCTAGACGTTCGGCAGGTTTTTCTGCTTATTAATCTACTCATGGATAGAATGTTACATGTATCCAGGGAAAGTTATTGCCCCGGTATCAACTTGGGAGGGATTTTGGGTTCTAGCTTGGGTCTCCGCCTGCAACACCCGCCCAAATGAGGCGATTGGTTCTCTGCTTCAGGGAGACACCCTGCTGAGTTCCTAGAAAAGCTAGTTGAGCTGAGTTGAGCTAAGTTGAAGAATTCTCCCTTTTAACATCGGAACCAACTTTGGGAGATAAAGGCCCTTTTGCTCAGGAAACTTGAACTGCTAAACTATGGCTGACGGCAAGTACTTTATCACTTTAAACTTCTTTCTGTTATCTCTTTGCTGTGTTATTGCTGTCTGTATATTTTTTATATATATATTGGCTACATCTTTTTCTGTAAATATTTTTATTGCACCCTTTTGACCTTTTAGTAATAAATCTTACTTTCTGAAATTGTTGAACTGTTTCTAAAGCTCTTTAATGCAAACTAAGAATCCCTGCCTCTGAAGAGCGCTACTGTGTGTGTTTTAAACTTCTGTATATCTCTGCCTGCGGTGACAGCGGTATACAGACGCTTAGGCAAACATCGTAGTGTTATTGCTGATATTGCCAAGTTTCCTCTTTCTCTGTACAAAAAGGAGGTGGTAGCAGTGTGACAGGTTAATTGCGTAATTAACCTGACTCCGTAACAATCGCTCCCAGGCTGCCGGTATACAGATTGTGGTCCATTAGCTGGAAAATCTTTGTGCAGGGTGCAGCTGGGCGTGGCATTGTTACGCACGTGACAGCGCGGTTTTAGATTGGCTACTCCTTCGGTCACGAGTTTGGTGAGAAGGGCTGGGGTCTGACGCCGCGATCGTCACAAACCTGTCACCATTGAAACAAATGTCTCAATGGCTGTAATAGTATCCTTTCATAATCTGACCTTTTTGTGGCTTGTTCTTTGCCAGAACTCACTGTTAACTGGCACAATGAAGGAGTGTTCAGTACATGGTATGTAGAAAGGTCCTCCCTTTCCATAGCTGAGGTCCCCCTGTGTTCTTGTTCCGCAGTTGTGAAGCTCTGAATAGAAACCCAACCCATAGAAGCTTGTTTGGCTGTACTTCTCCTGAGGATCACAGGAGTGCAGTTTGTTCTAGTCTCCTGTGACCACTGGGAGCCTGAGCCAGAGCTGTCAGCCGGGCAGAGCAAAAAGCGGTGACTGACAGTGCTCTCTGCTCAGGGCAGCAGGGAGAACTGAGCGATCAGTGGTGTCTGATCACTCAGTTCTCAGCCTTAGAAGTGGTGGGGGACAGATGTAGCATCTGATTGATGCTGCAATCCACCTAGGTAAGTATGATTGAAAAAAAAATCCCATTCTTCTCTTTTAATTAATAAAAATCCAGATATTATGTGCAAATTTAGAATCACCTTGTCCTATTTCCTGCAGGACTTTCAGACTTGGTTGGATCTCCGGGAATTAGAAACCAAAGTTGGCCAAAGATACATTACCCATGAGAGCGATGATGCACGTTGGCAGAGATTTGCTGAGGAATGTGGTATTGAATATCCACAGCACTTTGTCATGGGACCTCAGTTTGATGAAACCGAAGAAGAAGATGAAGAGTAAACTTTTCCTTTTAGCCATATGGGTGATCATGGCTACTCGGTTAAGCCAAAGCCATTATGCTGTAGGCCACTGTTAAATTATGCTACAACATGGTCTGTCTTAGGCTCAAGCCCACTGCCCAAATGATAAACAGTGAACCTTAAAGAATATGCCTGTGATATCTATGTAATAACAGAAAAGTGTTCGTGCAAATTGTCTATATTTTATATGTGTTTAATTGTTTGAATGTCAAATAGGAGTTGAACTGAAAGTCAAAAAGCTCAAGAGCCAGCGATATTTTTGCCTTGGGCAGTGTTTGCACATAGATGGTTACGTTGTGCCCCTTTAAGCAGAATCTTAGTACTGAATATAATGATGGTGCTGTGTGCTCCTGCTGCTCTGGGCTTTTCTGAAGCTTATGGATACTCTTGCTTGTTGCACAGATTTTAATCATGTACACTCAATGCTAAAGGGGCTCCCCAACTGACTCCCTGAATGAGAAAGAAGGGCTTGTGGTATGGGAACTTTGCAGCTGGGCCCCCTAGCCTATCTGAGCTGCTATATTCTTACAGTCTACTTTTATCTCCTTATGTTTGTATATTTTTTTCTTCATTTGGACCCAATGTTCATTTTTCATATGTATTCATATGAATGTGACCTGTATGTAACTTCTGTTTTGTTTAGGGATATATATATTTGTTTCTTATAAATAAGAAAATACATAATGTATATCTTTCACATACATGTGAGATCTGTGACTCTTTCAAAAGGCCTATACATTTTTGCACCAAAGAATATATTCTGATTTGTAGCAATTTCTGGTCCGCAAGGGTGGTAAAGAAGTTTGACAATCTGTGAATATTTTCTGCAATATCTAAATCAGTGTTTATAGTCAAGAGTTCATAATTTATTGTAAACCAGATTATTGTATTGGAATTTAATTATTTAGTACAGTGCATAAATGCAAAAAAAGTGGGTGTTCCCTTTTCACTAAAGACTTTTCTTATAGTTAAAACATAAATGTATAGAATTCAAGCAGAACGTGAGTCCAAAATATCAAAATTAAAAATGTTTTTTTTAGGGCATCAATCTTTTGCTACTATTGTTTCCCGGTTCCTGGATGAAGGCATTGTCTTATTGAATCTTAGAAGATATATATGAAACAGTCCCTCTGGCCACTTAATGGAGCTTTTAGGCCCCTCTCCTTTTTTCTGTTTTTTTAAGCACATGTACACAGGAGGACCTTCTCTGAATTATCAATGGTCAACTATAGAAATAATTTGTCTATGTTTAAACTATTTCCTGTACTGTGCTGGGAGCTCGCAGTAAATGCATTCTCAGTACAGTAAACCGTACCCTGTGGACTCACATATGCAGCCACTTGGTGTTAGGGCCCAACCTCCAAAAGACCACTTACTGCAATGGTCTCCAAACTGTGGCCCGGAGACCAGATCTGGCCCTTTGCTTGCTTTTATCTTGCCCTTGGGGCACTATTTCATCCACTAATACCAACAATGGAGCATAATTCCTCCCACTGACACAAATGAAGCAGCAATGTTTTTTCCCTCTAACATTTGGACCTTTTCTGCTCCAAATGTCCACAGTCCAGCCCCCTAAAATCTGAAGGGCAGTAAACTGGCCCTTTGTTTAGAAAGTTTGGAGATCCCTAACATACAGTATATGCGTACAGCTGGTGTGAAGAGGTTTATTACTTTCCTACTTTAGAATAACCTGTCACCATTGAAACAAATGTCTCAATGGCTGTAATAGTATCCTTTCATATTCTGACCTTTTTGTGGCTTGTGCTTTGCCAGAACTCACTCCTCACTGTTAACTGGCACAATGAAGGCGTGTTCAGTACATGGTATGTAGAAAGGTCCTTCCTCCTCTGTGGAAAGCATTTCCATAGCTGAGGTCCCTCTGTGTTCTTATTCCACGGTTGTGAAGCTCTGAATAGAAACCCAACCCATAGAACTTGTTTGCCACTACTTCTCCTGTGGATCACAGGAGTGAAGTTTGTTTTAGATCCTGGTTCATTGTCTTATTGAATATTATGTGATATACAGTGGGGCAAAAAAGTATTTAGTCAGCCACCAATTGTGCAAGTTCTCCCACTTAAAAAGATGAGAGAGGCCTGTAATTGGCATCATAGGTAGACCTCAACTATGAGAGACAAAATGAGAAAAAAAAATCCAGACAATCACATTGGCTGATTTGGAAAGAATTTATTTGCAAATTTTGGTGGAAAATAAATATTTGGTCAATATCAAAAGTTCATCTCAATGCTTTGTTATATATCCTTTGTTGGCAATGACAGAGGTCAAACGTTTCCTGTAAGTCTTCACAAGGTTGGCACACACTGTTGCTGGTATGTTGGCCCATTCCTCCATGCAGATCTCCTCTAGAGCAGTGATGTTTTGGGGCTGTCGCTGGGCGACACGGACTTTCAACTCCCTCCAAAGGTTTTCTATGGGGTTGAGATATGGAGACTGGCTAGGCCACTCCAGGATCTTGAAATGCTTCTTACAAAGCCACTCCTTCGTTGCCCGGGCGGTATGTTTGGGATCATTGTCATGTTGGAAGACCCAGCCACGTTTCATCTTCAATGCCCTTGCTGATGGAAGGAGGTTTGCACTCAAAATCTCACGATACATGGCCCCATTCATTCTTTCCTGTACATGGATCAGTCGTCCTGGTCCCTTTGCGGAGAAACAGCCCCAAAGCATGATGTTGTCACCCCCATGCTTCACAGTAGGTATGGTGTTCTTTGGATGAAACTCTCCTCCAAACACGACGAGTTGTGTTTCTACCAAACAGTTCTATTTTGGTTTCATCTGACCATATGACATTCTCCCAATCCTCTTCTGGATCATCCAAATGCTCTCTAGCAAACTTCAGACGGGCCCGGACATGTACTGGCTTAAGCAGGGGGACATGTCTGGCACTGCAGGATCTGAGTCCCTGGCGGCATAGTGTGTTACTGATGGTAGCCTTTGTTACGTTGGTCCCAGCTTTCTGCAGGTCATTCACTAGGTCCCCCCGTGTGGTTCTGGGATTTTTGCTCACCGTTCTTGTGATCATTTTGACCCCATGGGGTGAGATCTTGCGTGGAGCCCCAGATCGAGGGAGATTATCAGTGGTCTTGTATGTCTTCCATTTTCTAATTATTGCTCCCACAGTTGATTTGTTCACACCAAGCTGCTTGCCTATTTCAGATTCAGTCTTCCCAGCCTGGTGCAGGTCTACAATTTTGTTTCTTGTGTCCTTCGACATGCTCTTTGGTCTTCACCATAGTGGAGTTTGGAGTGTGACTGTTTGAGGTTGTGGACAGGTGTCTTTTATACTGATAACAAGTTCAAACAAGTGCCATTGATACAGGTAATGAGTGCAGGACAGAGGAGCCTCTTAAAGAAGAAGGTACAGGTCTGTGAGAGCCAGAAATCTTGCTTGTTTGTAGGTGACCAAATACTTATTTTCCACCATAATTTGCAAATTAAATTCTTTCCAAATCAGCCAATGTGATTGTCTGGATCTTTTTTCTCATTTTGTCTCTCATAGTTGAGGTCTACCTATGATGCCAATTACAGGCCTCTCTCATTTTTTTTAAGTGGGAGAACTTGCACAATTGGTGGCTGACTAAATACTTTTTTGCCCCACTGTATATGAAAAAGAGTCCTTCTGGCCACCTAATGGAGCTTTTAGGCCCCTTCACTTTTTTCTGTTTTTTTTTTTATGCACATGTATATATGGTGACCTCAAGTGCTGTTCTCTGAATTATCAATAGTCAACTATGTGAAATAATTTGTCTATGTTTAAACTATTTCCTAGGTCTTTGCCGTTGGGTGCTGTACCTACCATTGTCTTCCTTACAGAAGGTATTGGTATCCAGTCGCCCCCCACATGGTCTCTAGTTTTCCCTTTGTTGTTAGGCCTTTTAAACATCATAAATGATATCTGCAAGTGGTATGTACACTGTGGGCTCTTACCTGCCTGTTGTTGGCCCTGGCGTCTGGTCACTTGTTTGTTTGTATGAATGCCCCATTTTTATACAATAAAAATATCGTGAAAGAAAAATTTAATTTACATGCAGTCATGACTGGGACACAGAATATCAGAAGGCACTGTACCTTATTGGTTCCTATCCAGTGCCCCAATAAAAATTTCATCCACACTTCAGCTAGTGATATATTATTACAGGGCTTCATAAATTTGTGCCTTATATATTTTTTCAGAAAATAAAAGACTATTCATTTAGGCTCAACAAAAACTGCTGCATACAAAGGATAGGCCTAGAATTCAGCTTTAAAAAGTGGACACCAACACTAGGACCTTGAAATATAACCAAACCTAGATTTTGGGTGAAAAAACACCCCTGGCAAATTAAGAATCTAGGCCTATCCTTTGTATGCAACAGTTTTTGTTGAGCCTAAATGAATAGTCTTTTATTTTCTGAAAAAAAGTAAACCTAGTAATGCTATGGAGCCCAAGTACAGAATGTAACAAGCTAAGGACTGATGACTCTCACACAAGCTTGATGCTGAAAGCCCTAATATCCATTGATGCTCTGCCATTTAACAGCTGAATGACAGCGAATGCATGGTAAATGAAACAAATTTTATATTAAAAATATATCCATGGGATTTCTTCATTTTTGCATGAATATTATTTCTCTGCAAAATTTTAACATGCAGGTTTAAGTGTATGTGAAAAGACGTCATCTCATCAACCTCCATATAAACAATCCTATACCCACAGTTGATCTAGAGATGAGCAAAAAAACAAAAAAGCATGATCCAATTAGCTCCAACGGGAAAAAATCAGATAGTCTCTGGATCAACTACGCCTAGTGTTATTACCTATAAACGTTAGTTTCCAGTTCGGTTTTGTACAAATGCATCCAGCTCTTTTTTAAAACGATCTACCAAGCTGGCCAAAACTAGAATCTATTCCACGTTTTCTCAGTGTTTGTTAAGAAGTCTTTCTGTATGCAGTAGCTAAATGTTTTTTCCCCTCTTGTCCTC